CGGGCGCTCTGAGGGGGTGCGGGTGGCGGCCGTGCTGCACGGTGTCTCAAAGGGCCTGGTTTGGTCTTCTTCAGCAACCACAGAAACCGAGACGGAGCAGAGCCTCACCCCCAATGTGATGCTCAACACGGAGAGCAGCGAGGGATACGTGGTGAAAGTCAGGGGGCTGCCTTGGGGATGCTGTGGGAGTGGGAATGCTGCAGTGAGCAGTTCCAGAAAGCACTGAGGGCATGGCAGTAGCTAGTGAAGTTTGTAATGCAAAAAGTGCCTCAGCTGGAATGCAGTGTGGAAAGCTGTGCTTTTTCTAGCAGGAACTAGACATGAAGGAGCTTAGTCTGGGAGTTGCTGGGGTAGGAATAACTGCCTTACTGTCCTGAGCAACCAGAGGAGATGAGCTTCCATTTTACAGAAAACTTCAAAATTGTTGCTTCAGGTTGAACTAGATCAGTTTCATTCTTGGTGCTGTCCTAATAGGCTTGTGTTAAGTGTTTAGTGTATTATGTCCTTCCCCCAATTTATTAGCATTCTGCAGTAACAAATAGTGGTGAGAAATATGTGCTTTATTCAGTGCCTGGAGGTTTTAAAACTACTTCAGGAGTTTGACACGTTGGACTTGGTTTTGATTTAGTTCATTACGCTTACACTGATTGTTACTATTCCTTATGTTACTTCTATCAGGATCAAAAGCAGGTAGCACATTCAACCTGACTTGAGGCAGCAAAGCTTTAAAAATAGCTAGCTCATTTGCATTTATCCTGAATGCCTTGCCTGATCTTCAGACTTGACAAAATGGGTAGCTACATTTTAGTTAGTCCCTGAGTTTTATTGGTCACTATAAAAGTGAAGACAAGAAAACTGCTGGTTTTGTCATCTTGATACAGCTTTATAGTTGTTGTTAGTTTTTCTTGTGACTTTAAAAGTTTCAGATACTGCACAGTGTTCCTGTCATAAGTAACTCTGGGCTTTCTCCTTTTCAGATTGCAAAATCCTAAACGGGGCTTTGGGTATCCGCTTCATCTACACCAGGGAGGGCAGACCAAGTGGAGAAGCATTTGCTGAGCTTGAATCAGAGGAGGATGTGAAATTGGCACTGAAAAAGGACAGAGAAACAATGGGACACAGATATGTTGAAGGTTTGACTTGGTCTAGTAGCTGACTAAATGTGTTTGTGCTGGATGGGTTTTTCGTGAATTGTTTTTTTGCCTTTAAAATGCATGTGAAAGCACAAATGGACTTGTATATCGTAAGTTGAGTAGTTGCCAGGCAAATTACTTTTTAAAACTGTTGCGCATTCCAGAATGCATTAATTCTAAGTGCCTTTTACAGTTTTCAAGTCAAACAACGTTGAGATGGATTGGGTTCTGAAGCATACTGGTCCCAACAGCCCTGATACAGCTAATGATGGTTTTGTACGTCTTAGAGGACTCCCATTTGGCTGTAGTAAAGAAGAAATTGTACAGTTCTTTTCAGGTATGTGGGATAAAAGTAGTAGCTGTAGCACTATTGGTCTGTGTCAAAAAAACCCAAAACAAACACACCACGGATTGCCCAGTAGTACTTGCAACAGTATACTGATGGGTATTAAAAGTAAATAAAAATAAGCAATTCTTCGTTAGTTATCTGGGCTTGAGGGATCAGTTCCTAAAGCACTTGTATATACAAGTAATTGAGGGACTTGTCAAAAGCTATCCGATTTTATACTTAGCAGGACATATGGTTCCAAGTAAGGATAGCAGAAAACAAGTCTCGCTTTCTGAATTATAAGTGAACAACTTGGATGGGAGGAGGTTTCCACCCGCAGTCTTAGCTGGTTCGCACTGTTCAGTGGAGGATGTAGAACACCCTCACTGCTGGGCTCAGCACAAGGAGCAGCATCTGAGGAAGGGCATGCAGCATGCCCATGATTTCTTAGAAAAGTAGATGTAATATTGAACAGGATTCCAGGAAAAAAACCCCAAAACTGCTGAACTCTACCCAATTAGATTTCCCTCTTCCCCACTCTCCTTCCTGTGGGGAGGGGGAAAAACTCCCTTGATGTTGTCTAGCTTAAAGTTTTTACGGACGACGAGATAATGTCTTGTATTGACTCATTCTCGCTTTCTTGCAGCTGTTTATGTTTTAGGAACTGGAATACTATTATAAATGCCTAAGAATGAAATCTCTTTATCTAGGATTTGGCTTGGTAGTATTCTCAAAGTAATAGATTTCTAAATGTGGGTGTTAAAATTAGCTGGAATGTTTTGCTATAACAAAATACAATTGAGCTTACTGTTTTGCTTTAAAATACAGTAGAAATATTTTCAATTTTACAACTTCAGAACTTGCTTTTTGTTTTCTGAATCAGTAATATGTTGTGAACAAGAGAAATTCCTAAGCATGTGCATTTTAAGTTGTTTCTTTCTTACATGGTTAAGTGATTCAAGTTTTAAAAACTGTTAATGTGCTTACTCTACAAAATGTGCCTCTCTGTTCAGAAACTAATACTTTTGAAATTAGTTCATGATTTTTTCTTAATTAAGCACTCCTAAAGATGAAAAAATAATTCTGAAACTTGATGTTTGCATAAGACTAATTATTTTACCTGAGTGACTTACAGTAAAAATACTTATACATGAAGCTGTTTAATTTGCTGTGTTTGAATTTAAATTATCTGAAAAAGTTCATCTTAAATACTTTCACAGAATTGAAGAGGTTTGTAATAATATATGAACTTCTTAATGCACCCTGCATTAGATGCTTGATCTGAGGCGTTGTCCATGACACTCGGAACGTTTCTGTTCTCTGCAGGGTGGGTTAAGAACGTAAACTGAATGGTATGTGATGGTGGATCTTTGTTGACATGCTCTTTCTTCTGGTGTTCTAGAATCAACATACCATTCACTTACAAGTGTTAAAATTCTGGTGTATTTAAAGCTATAAGAAAAACTCATGACTGGGCTTGTGATGTTAATATTGCCCCCCTACTGGGGTTATTTGTCCTTGGGTTGAAGGGTTGGAAATCGTGCCAAATGGGATAACATTGCCGGTGGACTTCCAGGGGAGGAGTACGGGGGAGGCCTTCGTGCAGTTTGCTTCACAGGAAATAGCTGAAAAGGCTCTAAAGAAACACAAGGAAAGAATAGGGCACAGGTGGGGATGGATGGTTGGTTGGCTCTGTCACTTTTCTTATGGTAAACAATTAAATCCATATTCTCTCTTCTGACAGTGTGAATGTCTAAATAGAAACAGTGTTTTGGTCTCTAACTTGGTGAGAAGTAAAGGCGTTGCTGCTGTGCGTGTGGCACAGACCATTTGGATTTACCCAAAATGGGAGATGAAATTGGCCTGAGCTTAAGTGCGCTTTGGAAACTTGGTAATAACAGAGGAGTGCAAAACTGATAGCTTGGAAGTGACAAAGTTGAGAGACTATGGCTTTAACTTCTCAAATAGCACCAATTATGCCTTTAGCTCTAAAGACATGCACAGTACTCTTACTACCATAAGAAAATGTGATACTTTCTAAACTTGTTTTATAAGTTGAAATGTAACAAATTTTCTTACTGTATTAATCTTCAATGTAATAAGCATAGCTTTCAAGAAATTGTCACAAAGGGTTTTTATTCTATTTTACTTGTGACTATTTTTCATTGAAGCATGCACTTTTTGCCTATGCTGAATCACTGAAGCGTAGGCTGGGTTCACTAGCACATGCAGAGCTTTTGTAGCATCCCGATGGGTTAAAATCTTGGTGGAGACTGGGTTTTTAACCCTCTGTTTGTGTTGCCACATGAGCAAAACAGTGCTGAGTTGAGCGGACATCAGTCCCTCCTATGTTTTTTGACTAACACCTTAAATTGGGGGGAGGAGGGTGGGGAATCAAGATTGCTCCCCCACCCTTAAGGTTGGGATACTGTAAAGTACGAGGAGCATGTAAACCCTTCAGTAATTGTAATTTCTTGAAAATACACTGATTGGAAAGTAACGTAGTGCTTATCATAGTATGTCATTGCCTGCATAATGTAAAGAAACCTGGCTTAAAATATCCTGCCAGTTTCGAGGCTATGACTAAATGGCTTGTTTTAATGTGAAGTTGTGAGGCCTTTGTGGAAGGAGTCAAAGACTGACTTCCCTCTGTGGAAACACTTCTAGGTACATTGAGATCTTCAAGAGTAGTCGAGCAGAAGTGCGCACTCACTACGACCCTCCACGCAAGCTGTTGGCAATGCAGAGACCCGGTCCGTACGACAGACCTGGTCTTACGCGGGGATACAACAGTCTTGGTAGAGGAAGTAGCTTGGAAAGAATGAGGCGTGGAGCTTACGGAGGAGGTAAGTATGCACTGTCCAAGAGGGAGCTGCTCAGCTGAGAAGCGGCAGCACTTGGACCTGGTAGTGTCTTCCCTGCTTTGTAACTACTGGTTTGTATATGTCCTTGGCTTTGCCTTTCTTCTACAGAAGTAATGTCCTCATGCTTGTTGTCTGTGGTGTGTTCATGTGTGTTTGGATCTTTCTGTAGTTGAAATGAACATGTTGTCCAATCTATTTATAGGTTATGGAGGTTATGATGACTACAATGGGTATAATGATGGCTATGGTTTTGGTTCTGATAGATTTGGAAGAGGTAAGATTGCTCTAATAGGAATAGTAACTGAACTTACGATCTGTCTCAAAAGAAACTAAAATACATCTGAAAGACCTAGAATGGACTCTCTTCTCTGCAGGGATGTCGGACCACAGATACGGCGACGGGGGATCCACCTTCCAGAGCACGACTGGCCACTGCGTCCACATGAGAGGTCTGCCTTACAGAGCTACGGAGAACGACATCTATAACGTGAGTTCCAAATCTGCCGTTCCCCTGGGTGTGGGGTTTTAAGATTCTGTGGCCGTTGTTGGACGTGTCAGCTGTGCCACAGTTAACGAGTGTTCCTTCAGAGAAAACGGCTTGCTGTAAAACTGAGCTGTTGCATTGGTGCGTTTTAATCCGTGTGACTGTTCCGTGTGTAGTTCTTCTCACCTCTGAACCCCGTAAGAGTACACATCGAGATCGGACCAGATGGCAGAGTGACCGGGGAGGCAGATGTTGAATTCGCAACTCACGAGGATGCGGTGGCCGCAATGTCCAAAGACAAAGCCAATATGCGTAAGTACGAGTGGGCCGAGCGCCTGGCTCCAGGGACAGCGTGGCTCGGCGGTGCGCGCCTCTGCTGTCACTGCAATGCACCCTGAACTGGCGGTGAGACAGACTGCCTGTGGGCTTGCTGTGAAATGCTCTCATGGCAAAACTTTCTTCTTCCAGAACACAGATACGTAGAACTCTTCTTGAATTCTACAGCAGGAGGAAGTGGTGGTGCCTATGGCAGTCAGATGATGGGAGCAATGGGTATGTGTGAATGGTCTAACTCTACTTAATGAAGCTGGCTAATTTTACACAGCTCCTGCTTGTTCTGTGCCTGGCATAAAAACTGAAATTCAACATTCTGTCTTAATCACACAGTCAAGGAATCGGAAGGGGTAGTCCAGGACTGGAACACTAGCACGCTGGCAGGTATATAAACCTTTTTGGAATACCTTTGAACGATGAATAGGTTGAATGAGCTGTGCTGCTGTGTGGTGTGCATGGTGGGCTGAGTGGCTCCTGGGTACGGGGGGTGGGAGGGGAAACAGGAGGTGCCTGTCCCTTTGTTCTCCTTCCCCCTTCCTTTTTTGGAGACCAGAACACAGTCTGGTGGTGGAGGCTGTATCTGCTGCGTGTGACTCGCCATTGGTGGTGAGGGAAATCAATTTAGAATTGGGGGAAATGGTCTGTATTGCTCTGGAAAACTCAGATTGCTGGAGAATCTAAAATGTGTGTTTGCAGTGCGAGTCTGAAGCCGCTAGTATGCCTGTGAAGCAGGTACTCCTCGTGATACCTGCCTTGTCTGGTTTCTCAGCCATTAACGCAGTGGCTAGGTTTTGGGGGTTTCTTTTTTGGGGGGGGTGGGGTGGGGGCTGTGCCTGTGTGGATACATCACTGCTTTTATAGTACTTTGATTACAAATTCCTTCGAGTCTAATGCTGGCACTTACAGCGGGGTTTTGCGGGAGCATAGACAAGTGCTGAGGTGAAGAGCAGTGATCAGCTGGAGTGAAGGTCTCCTGTGGCACCGCGGTGATGCGCAGCCAGTCTGGCATGGCAGTGTCAGGGCTGTACGCAAACGAGCGGCTCGGGTAACGAGTCAGCGTGGCACGCCTCCTGAAGGGCTGCAGCCGTGTGAGGTCACGTAAAGCCAGGCTGAAGCCTCCTGGGAGCTGTTACATACGACAGCAGATCGATCCTGTGTAAAACCATGTCTGGCCCATGGAAACTGCAAAAGCAAATCCTCGGAGCAAGTACCGGAGAATCGCAAGCACTTGCTGAAATTCTTAAAAGTTCTTGTTGCCTCTTGACTGTGGGAATGGCTCTGAGAACCTGAGCGCTTCCTTTGAGCTGGTTACTGTGTGTACGTAGGCAGAAAGTCGGGTGCGAGCAAGCTAGTGCTGGAGCAGGGGGGCTGTAGGCAAGGCGTGTGGTGGGTTTGCTGCGGACGAGCGGACTTTGAGAGGTGAGCTCTTAACGTTGTTGTCCTTACCTTGAAAGGAAGCCAATCCAGTTACGGTGGTCCAGCTAACCAGCAGCTGAGTGGGGGCTATGGAGGAGGATACGGTGGTCAAAGCAGCATGAGTGGATATGGTAAGAGCATTTCTTCACTGGTTTCAGGTGGGCCCGGCACGGCTGGCGGAGCGTGCCCTAGGGTGCTGCTCGCCGCTGCTGAAGGGCCGTGGTACAGGCAGGGCAGCGGCAGCCCTGCTGGGAGCTGGAGACTTGGCTGTTGTGGATTTTGGAACTAAGGGAGAGCTGGAGGGGAATAAATTGAAAGCAGGAGCTTGGAGCTGGAGTGGGGGGGTGTGGGGAATGTGGGAAATTGTTCTGGATGGGGCAGGAAATGCCAGTCTCCAGAGTTGGGTTCCGCTGCTCCCTTCCTAGCTCCTCGCTGTGGAAGCTGGAGACCAGCCTGGTTTGAATGATGAGTGCGAGCAGGGGAAGGTGTGCGGGGGGCTGGGAGCTCTCCGCTGCCAAAGCGCGGTGACGGCAAACGCTGGTGGAAGAGGAGGGCGAGGCAGGGCTGGCGCTTTGATTGCACAACCGATAAACCTGATGTTGGGTACGGAGCTGTAAACTGACACTTTGCAGTATTGGGCACAGTCGATGGTGTTTACGAGGTGGCCCAGCAAGGACAGGCGTTGGGGGAAGGATGCTTCGAATCGGCCTGAAGCGGCTGTGAACCTGCTGTCGGTTTTCCCCCCCAGACCCCGGGAGCCAGGGCGCCATGAACAGCAGCTACTACAGCAGTGGGAACCGCGCGTCCATGGGAGTGAACGGCATGGGCGGCATGTCCAACATGTCCAACATGAGTGGTGGCTGGGGAATGTAACCAATCGCTGACTTTTGGTCGCATCTTTTTTAAAAAACAAAAAAACAAAAAACTAAGTTTAACAGTTTTGCAATACAAGCTTGTGATTTATGCTTTACTGTAAGTGAATTCAGGATTGTTATTTTAAAACCTTTCAGGTTCAGTATTTTTGAACATACAGAAATGAACATTCATCTAGGATGTAATAACCAAGTTGAGTAAAGACTATAACTGTTAAACAACTTTGAGCGTTTCTCAAGTTAGTTTTGTTGTAGGAGTGTATTTAAGCAGTAAGCGTATTTAGGTTAAAGCTGTTTGAATTACGTTAAATGTTGCTCTTATACCATACTACATCCACACTGTTTGAGTACATGTTGAGACATGCTTTTTTGTAAAGAAACAATATAGGAGCTGTGTCTGAAATTCAAAGTGAACATTTGGCATGTTAGTTCTAGTTTCTTTCTTTTAATATCCTGTAAGGCACGTTATGGCTTTTTTTTTAAGTTAATGGGGGAAACGTGTTGAGACGCAATACGGCTACTTTAGGATTTTGGTCTTGGTGTTCGTATAAAATTCTGAGGCCTTGATTTAATCTTTCATTGTATTGTGATTTCCTTTTTAGGTGTATTGCGCTAAGTGAAACTTGTTAAATAAATCTTCCTTTTAAAAACTGGAACTCATTCCTTCTTGCCCTCCAACTTCTGTGGTGTAGCTACACCCAGGGAAGTGTTGCTGTGCTCTTGCGTCCTTGGTGACTGTAGGACTCTGAATGCTTACGCATTGTCGCTGCTCCCAGTGCTGTGCTGGCCTGGGGGGGTGCCAGGGATGGGTGTCAGTGCAGGTCAGTGCAGGTCCCTGGTGTTGGCTCACTGCACCCCGAGGCTGGGGGAGGGATGAGGTTATCCTGAGCTGCTCACGGCCGAGAGGTGAATTCTGTACTTGCTCGTAGGCATCTCTGCTGTGGAGCCATAGCGCTGCACCCACGGGCTCTGCAGCTTCCTCCAATTCTCAATAAATTCAGCCTGTCCAACAGCACGCTGGGGGATGTGGTTTTATGGGCAGCTTGGTTACACCTCTGAGTGCTGCATCTTCCCCCTGAGATAATAAGGAACCTGCTCCTGGGCATTTGCCACAGTAGATTGATTTGCCCTTTCTCATGAGCCCGTCCCCAGGGGGTGGAGGCCTGAGGTCCCTTTCTGCGGTGAAGGAAGCCCCCTTGCTTGGCAGCAGGGGAGATGCAGTGTGAGCCTGAGCACTTCACACTGCAGCTGGGGTTGTCTTTGCCCTGTTGGAAAGCTGCTGCGCCAGCTGGGTGCTGCCTGCAGCCAGGCTGGGGACTGGAGCCCAGGGTGGGGGAGACTCACGTCCCTGCTAAGCCTGCAGTGGCAGGGCAGGGGTTCGGGGGGCCTGCACACAGCTGTGGGCTTGCTGAGCCAGGGAGCTCTTCTGCCTTGCGCAGCGCTTGCCAAGCAAGGTGGGCACTGCAGGGGATGGGGCTGCCTTTGCCAGGCCTTGGCCACTGTCATGGCTGCTGCAGGGTGGCAGCTGCACGTCCTTCCCTGTGGAGAGTGTTTGCGCCTCGGCCCGGGCCAGCCGTGCTCAGGCTGGATGAAGCGCACGGCCAGCAACAGCACCAGGGCAGGTACTGCCCATGCCCTGGGGAGGTGCAGCAGCCATGACCGCTGCAGAGCATCTCCTTTCTGTGGCACCTCGCAGGAGCACCATAACCCCATGAGCGCACACGTGCTGGCCAGCTGGGCCGGCTCCAGCCCTCGACGCTCGCAGCTGCGCGAGGACCTTGGCTGCTGCGAGCTGTGACTGACAGCTGCCAAAAACCAGCACTTCAGTCTCACTTGCAGTTTTTGCAAAAGGCTTTATTGTGTAACTACCACACTGGGGTCGCAGCGACGCTCAGAACGAGGACAAGGTGTAGTTTTTCACTCTGCAGTGAGCAGAAGGCACATTCATGGACACTCATCATAAAGCTCTTTCTATACACAATTCATAAATTGACTTTTCTTCTCTGTACTCAGAGCAAATACAAAACTGTACACCAGGCAGTGACACACCCGGGAGCACCTGCAGGGAAGGGAACTGACACTGATGTGCGGAAAGACAGTGACGTCTACAGGGCTCAAATACAGGTAGAAATGCCATATACAAATTTTAATACAAATATCTATAAAAATCAGAAAAGTGAATTTGCATTTTAGTTTCAAACAGAACTTTAAGGGAACTTACAGTTGATATAATTTTCTTAATTATTCCAGTTGGAGAAATATTAGCTTGCATAATCCCTACAAATTACTTCACACTGCTCTGTTTTGCAGTGGAAAATACTGGAGACCAGGCAGTCTCCTGCACAGCGAATGCCTGCAATTCAGAATTAAGAAAATAATGGCTACTTTTCCAGTGCTGAAGTGGTCCCGTCAAGGTCAGGGAAGCCTTAGGAGGAGTTGGACGAACACCGCTGGAGGAGTAAAGTGTGACAAGTATCACAAACGCGGACAGGTTTAGGATAGGATGGCAGTGCAAGCTCGTTACTGGAACACGTGTTGCAGAAGATGTCCCCACAGTTTCTGCAGTGATGCTACGAACAGAGAGAGAGAATGAGCACAGCTGCATAAAAACCGAGCATTGGGAGGAGATCGAGCCTTTGGAGGCCACCGACACCCTCTTCCGCTTGCCCCAGTCCCAGCCCTCCCAGCAGCACTGCCCGGGCAGGAGCTGGCCCCCGGCTGGCAGGGGCAGCAGGGCTGCCAGGGGCCGGAGGAG